ACTACTCAATGCAATTTCTGCCTAGAACCCACTAGACAAAAGACACCTCTCACTCCCCCTTTATCACAGCAGTGATACACAATTCAATACTAAAGGAAAGACTTTAGAAGACACTCTTCAAAGTCACAATACTTGATTTTGCTTAACAGCTTCAACCAAGAACAATACACTCTTACTTAAAAGCGTTGAGTGAATATTCAACAATTAACAAACTATGTCTACCATGATGCATCCAAATATACAAAGGGTGACTTACAAAGTCACATAAAAAAGACTCTCAAAACCCTAAACCCTTATTTTACACTCAAGTTTTTCTTGTTGTGAGTGCTTAATTTCCCTTGCTTCTGCGCCTCCTTAAATAGTAATGCAGACCGGGCTTTAGGCCTAAGTAGCATAAATTAGGTTTAACCAAGTTAAACTACTTTCCATAATTCAAGGTGCTAACAAATATGACATAGGTGTTTCATGTTATGATCAACACTGCCTAGAATGTTTCCTGAAATCTAGCCTGAGGTAACTCAGGAAACTTAACTGAAAAACAAACACGCGCCCTTGCTGGTAGCTACCTGATGTCACAACATTCAGCTTGACATCCAATAAACTTTGCATTAGCTATCCAATTATATCCTGTAAAACACTACTCAAGTATGTCATGACATTAGTCAAGACATCTACACATATAACAATGTTTTACCAAAACACCTGCCAATCAATTCAAACTCCAAATCTTCTGCAGAATCTTCTTCATAACAGTAGAACCAAATATATCATAGTTTCCTAAAAAGTCTCAAGGATCCTTTTTATGAACACCAATTAAATCTGCACTTTATTCCTAATAAATCTCTTTGACCTGCACACATTGATGAGGTATGTCCAACAGGATCTCATCAAACCAAACCACCCCTGTCAAGAGATATAAAGTATCAGCTCCTACTGTACCAGACAAAGATGTCACGGCATCTGTCTTGACATCTTGATAATAACACATGACAACAATTATGTCTTGACATCTTGATTAAAACACATGATAACAATACTGTCAAAAAAGTAGATGAAGATGTTATAACATCTTGCTTAACATCAATGCAGAATCATGTTTTACTAAAATTTAGCCATTCATAGAACCATGGACAATCATAGAATCATGGAACTAACAGGCAGGCATGCTCAAATGATCGACATAATATTGGGCTTTCTTGATTAAGAAATTTGTAGGTAAGCCAAAAGTTCCGCCTTTGGCAATCATATTGCCCTTGATGTCGGATACCTTCAAGCATGTGGCTCTAGCAATGTCTTGCTCTTTAGGGTCCCTCTACCAGATAAGAGTACTCTTCTAAGGTAGGTAAGAGCTGATAGTCTAGGAACATGAAGCAATGATAATCTGGATCATAGAACTGCAACAAAGTAGAAAGAAGTCCCTCGTCCATTCGGAGCCTTAATAAAGCCAATAGCTTCTCATACTTGTTATTGGATCCTTCTTGATCTTCAACCAAAGCTCCTAACTTCCTTAGGTCATCCAACTTAGTACTCTTAAAAGTATATTTCTAAGTATTCTTTCTTGTGAAATCCATGGTATCCTGTAATGTTCATAAGTAAAGTTGAATTCCATGAAATCTAATGTGATATGATGCTTGATGGATGCAATGCACAAACACATACAAAGTCATAGGTTAGAGGAACAATGGATGGAGTTAAGGTCTACCCAGCCCTAAAAGGTATGTACTATAGGTTATTTGTACCTGTAGAACAAGGGTTCTAAAGAAGTTCCCAAGGTCATCAGTCCGTCTTTCGGATATTATCAATTTCCCGATTGACTCGGTGGTTAATAATATTCTCAAAAGAACCTCTTTTGAGTGTAGTATCGCGTACCAACTATTTTGGGAATACTCCCTAATAGTCCCCACACTACGTCCTAGATAAGGCCAAGGTGGTGTTAAGGTACTACGGTCCCCAATATCACAGGCTCCAATTGAAGATAGTAAGTGTTTTCACGAATACTCGTTCAACAGAACTACCTTTCAAAAGGGCCTCAACTGAGCGGTGATTCTCAAGTCAACTTGGTCGGGAATCACTCCCTATAAGCCTCGTTGAATATATCACCTTCCTATAATAAGTTCACTCAAGTCCGGGTGTAGGACTTATCTCACAACAAAATAGATACCCCAAGCAAGGTACAATGATATATTATATACAAGCAAACAAATAATGAAGTAAATAGTAGAAATAAGAAAAGTAGGGGTAACCCTTAAAAATTAGGAGGGTCCCTAGTGAAGTCGCCATTTTCTGTTGCGGTGAGAATAAGATATCAAACTATTAATTAGTTTGAATCACATCTTTATTTCACAACCGATCTTTGATTTATCCGAAGGAAAAAGTCAAATGAAGGAAAACCTATTTTTGTATCGTAAACAATGCGGGGGGAGACCTAGGTAAGGGGTTGGTTAAGTTTAGGGAAGGTACTAGCACCCTAAACTTCTGTAGTACTCTACAGGAACCTTTTATTTACCTTTACTATTTTTGCTTGATTATCTGCTTGAGGTATATTGCTAAGGGTTAAAAGTGACAGAGAAACCTAAGGGTTAGTCCTAAGTTTACTCGCCAAGATTCACATCTTGTGCCTACGTATCCGAGGTAGGGGATGGAATCAGAGTAATCGTAGTTCCCCTTGAAAGGGAGGTTAGAAACTTCTTGACTGTGGTCAAGGTTTCAATGGGGAATAAGCATTCTTAAGGAAGCGCTTATGTGGAGTGCGGTGACTCTTATTTGTACGTTGAAATAGTTGATTTGAAATTAGGGTTATCTAGGTATTCCACGGAGGGAAAACCTAAAACGGAGTGCGGCGACTCCTTGACCTAATGCTAGGGTAAATGGTACTTTCGGTCCATGGCGGAACGCTTAGGCAATTAGGGTTTTGAAATACTCAAAGGTTAAGGCCATTGACTCGGCGGTCAAATGGCTAGACCTAATCCTTCGGAAGGCTTAACGGTAAATAATGCAGATGATAAGTTATTACATGGCGGGATTAAGATAGATGAAAATATGAAAACAGTAAGAAAAGTGAAAAGCGAAGATTACTCGCGCAAATTACAACCATAAAAAAATGTACGGAATAAAGCGACGATAGCCTCGCATAATTACAACCGAAAAATTGAAATATGAATAAAAATTATGGATTAGTAAGCAGAGACAAACGAGAATTAAATGACGGTCAGATGAGAAGTGAAATGGCTAGATTATGAATTCCTTATTTTTTTTAACTTTTATTTTAAAAAGGAATAGTTTATTTTTTGAATTTTATTAAAAAACAATTATTTGAATTTTATTAAAAAAACAAAACAATTATTTTTTAATTTTTAACAGAAAATTCAATTTAAAATTTTTAAAAACATTATTAGTAATTACTAGAAATATAAAAGAAATGAATTTAATTTTAACAAAAGGTTTTTAGTTATAAGTTATTAGTTATGACTTATATAAAAAATTCTCATTATAAGTATTAAAAAAATTAATTATTAGTTATTTTTACAAGAAGATTAATTACGAGTTATTTACAAAAGATTAATTATAAGTTTTAGTTAAATATTTTTTTAACAATTTTAATTAAATTTTAAATTTTAAAACATAAATGAATTCAAATTAAGTTTTAATAAACATGATTTTTTTAAGAAAATAAATTTTAGTTTTAATTTTGATTTTTACTAAAACAGTTTGATTAATGAATTACAACCAAAATAATGTATTAATCATAATTATTAATTAAAACACTAAAATAATATAGTAAATAATACTAGAAAAGGAAAAAAAAATAAAAAAATAAAAAAAAAGACAATAAAAAGTGGGGAGGGGACTCGTGTTGCTTAAGGAACCCATTTAGGTTTTTCAACTTTTCCTCTTTTTCCCCAAAGGCACCGCGCCATTGTTGCTCAAAAGCTCCGAGCTTTTCGTCCTCTCCCTGGCTTGCATGTCTTCTTCTTCCTCCTTCCATATGCCTGATGATGATGGTGTTGTTCGTGAAGGTGACGAGCGTTTGAGTGGTTTGGATCTTCGATTTGGCTGATGATGTTGCTCGTGTGACTGAGGCTGGATGGGTTTGCATGTGATGTCTTCCTTCATCTCCTGATGACGATGATGGTTTTACGGCCCTTCCCTTTTTCTCTAATGGCTCGCGGATTTCTGGGTTGCTTATATGGTTCTTGCCTGTTCTTGATGATGATGATGATGAAGTCACTACAACAAAATCGAGTTTAGATAATGATGAAAAACCGTGGCTAGACATAGAAAAACCGCAGCTGAAACCTTTAGCCCGCGGTTATCTAGACGTGGAATATACGCCCTATTTGTATAAACTACGGTTTTTTGATTTTAGTCCACCATTGTGAAAATCGTTGCCTAAATATGTAAATAGGGGACGGTTTTTCTAACTAGTTTTAGACCGCGGTTTTGATTGGCTACGAATATATAACTGTTGTCTACTGATTGTACCACAATTTTTTTATGTCAGTTTTAGGCCACGACTTTTATTTTAGTCACAGTTTTGAAATCATTGTCTAACTTTTAACTCAAGTTTTTTGCCCCAATTTAGACAATTTTTTTTTAATTTAATAATAATAACAAAATCAAATTTGTCACACGCTTCTCCTAATGTGACAATAAAATTTATCACACTTAGTAATGATATATCATTATAAAACAATAATTAATAATATGAAGTGTAATTTACTTTTTTATAAATATATCATTCTAACATATTAATTAATAATATATATAATAGAATCTCTATTATGTAAATAAAACATTAATATTTTATGTAAGCTAATTGGTCACTGCTAGTACTCAATCTCAACATATAAAAGTTTAAGTACAAAAGACAACTAGAAAGGTATCAGACTTTAATATCATATCAAAATTCTTGAAATTTTATTTCTTCTTTCAAGCTTTGATAGCATCACCAACCTATATCCAATAAACTTTTTTTTTTGCATTCTAAACATAATCATAGATCAAACCAAAGGACTTGCCTCCTCTAAAATAAAATAAGTTATGAAATTGAAGACGAGGCAAGTCCTATATGACATTGGCCACTTTTTTTTTTTTATTTCAGTCTTGGAGACATTGGCCATCCCTAAATGAAAAACATCAATGGAAAATTGTTTTCTTGAAATAAGTTTGTTTGTCATGAACTGCCTAGTTCTGATAGTGTCAACCTTGTCCGCCATGTTGTTCATCACCGGTTAACAACCTACAGGTAAAAGGAAATATTTCTTAGAGATTAATTAATAATATGAAAAGTAGTGGAACTATTTTATGTAAAAACACACATTAAACATAAATCTAATTACTATAATTTTTTAGACTAGCCGGTACAATTTTCTTTAGTAATTCCAAATCTTTGTTTATTTTTTGTAATTATAATAAAAATTATATTGATATTGAAAACTATCAAACTTACTTCAATAAATAGAACTAATTTATAAATTATTTATTGCTTTCATTCCATTCCACACATAAATCGGTTTTAGACTTTTTTTATTGGATAATTAGTCATGTATGTTGTAATATTTGGAAATCATTGGTAAGCCACTAGTATTTGTATGGTTACTGATAGATGCACGGTTCACAATTGATTTAAATGTCATATTAACAACATAATATAGGGAGCAATTCTTCCATGTACCACCTCCATGCTGTAAGTAAGGTTCAAAAATTACCATGTGAGATAATTCAACTAAAATCATAAACTAAATATGATCTAAATCTCTCTACAGTTTGGTTGCAACTGAAAATTAGCATGTGAGATAATAAAACTTAAGCCACCGAGTTATGTGCAGGGAGCAAGGAAATTCAAGACAAGACTATTTAAAATGAACTTATTCCTCACCTAGAGAAAATAATTATTGATTTAACATAATATTTATATAAAGATTATTTTTAATTTTTGTACATGAGCTCTGTTGCCGGTCATTAGTAGTTGGTTTCAAGAGTAGTGCTAGGATCCAACAATAGACACTCACTACTAAAAAAGAAATAAGCCAATTTTAAAAACAATTCTTAAGATTTTCAAAATATGAAGAAGTAACACTTAACTTTAACCACCATTTCTACCTTATATAAAGTTAAGAGAAAATAAATTCCCAGACTTACTAATAATCATGCAAAGCAATCAAAATAAACCTTAATAAGGGTTTAAAAGATCAAGATTCAATAGAAGAAAATTTCAATAATAACTTATGTCATAACTCTAAATAATTAGCTATTCCACATAGATAGAATCAAAACTCATAATCATATCTACAAGATTTCAATTTCTTATCTCTCAAATCCATCCCTTTTATGCATAGAGACAAGTCCTTTCTCCATTGTCACTCGTGATTTCTAAGAACAAAATTAGGAATGACACAAAACACACATGTCAAAGAACTGGAATACCACAAAACACACATGTCAAAGAACATTTACACCAATTATAAACAATAAGCATATAACCATGAATCACCATTAAAATAGTCAGTAAATCCTAAATCCATTTATGTAAATCCTGGGCCTTTTGTTTGTCTAGGAAAGAAAAGAAGTACTCCTTACATGAAAATTTGAGAAACCTCAAGAGAATGCAAGACAGAGCAATTACTTCATTCGCCACATGTTGCTTGGAATTTTGTATTCAAATTGAATGACACACTCTACTTCCTCCCCAAGTTGAACAACAAGTTCTTATCTGACACATTGGTGGTGGAAGTTAAGTTATAAAAACAAAATTAAGAGATTGTTAGGGTTAGTTAAAAAGAGAAAATGAAAAATGAATACCTTGAACAATGGTGAATTAAGTGATATCGATTTTTTTTTCTGGTGAAGGCGGAGAGAAGATATGAGCTTACTGTGAGGTATCCACTCTATGATGGAGGTGAGAACATGAAAGGGACCGAAGCCAGAAGATGAAAGGGATGAAAGTGGGATTGTTGTCGTACGCAAAAGGGAAGAAGTAGATGAAGTGTGCACAGAGTAGAAAATGGTTGGAACGATGAAAACGAAAAAGGCGCTCGAGGAAGACGACTGCGGTTAGGGTTCTATGAGGAAGTGAGAGCGACAAAGAAATTATATGCATTTATATATTTATTTGTTTTTCTAAATTTATTAAATTATAACATATTCACTTACACATTTATCATTTTATTTTATAAAAGAATATGAAAAAATGTAAGAGCACTTCTTTTCAAATAGACATATTTAATATATTTTGCATACAAATTATAATATATTATAATTAATTTTGAAATATTAATTAATAAATATAGCATCTCAATACTAATAAAAAATAAACGCACTATTATACCTAGCGTAACATTTATACAGTTTTTATTTTTAAGAATTATAGTTTATAATTTTACAATATAATAAATAGCTTATAAATATTAATATAAAATTTAAAAAAAAAAATAGTTTGGAACACTAAAAAAATATAAATACATTTATTTAACTTCTTCATTTATCTATAGAGTAGCATATAGTCCATGATACTTGTATACATTACATAAAATATTTTATTTTTAATTTTGTTATCGAATTTTTAAACTTATTTGTAATAAATGTTTTATTTTATTTTTCTAAACAATTTTATAAAATATTACAAATAAAAAAATAATATAGTAATATATTTCATTTTTTAATTATTAAAAATAAATTAAAATATTTATTAATTATTAAATTAAAATTATCTAAAAATAGAATAGAGCTAAAATATACATTTCTAAATTCTTTCAATAAAATAATTACTTACCTTTAGTCCCCCGTAAAAGAGAAATTAAATATACATTAACCAATCAAATAAGGAGGAGAAGAAATACAAATATATACTAATTACTAAAATAATAATAAAAGTGTAAATATAGATTTTGTTATTAAGTCTTTATGATTAGGTGGCGATTTGTAATTGAATAACAATAGGCCACACTTATATCGTGTGGCTTAAAATAGCTATGACTAAATACTACGGTCTATACATAATAGGCTGCGGTTAATTTATGCCAACGCTCTCTAAACCGTAACTTCAAGTGAATAAGCTACGAATTTTTTCAAAATTTAGAAATTTGTCAACACGTAAAAAACCGCACTCTATTTGTCTTCTGGCTACGGTTTTTAAGCGGTTGCCTATTCTTCCGTTGCCTAAAGTCAAAAATGGTGTAGTGAGTTTTTTCTAAACCTTTTCTGATCTTTTCTCTTGAAAAAACTCTCCCTCTTCTGTTGTTCTTTGCATGAGTTATATTGATGAGTTTTTTTAGGCATGGGCGGGTGATTTTTGTACGATGAATTTGTGGCTAATTTTGTGGCTTTTTGACGGCGTAATTTCTGGAATTTGTTGGCTCTTTTTCAGGAGCCTTTGTAGCATTTGATGGTTCTGTTGAGTTTTTCTTTTCAGGAACATGGATGCTAGGTCTGCGAATTTCATGGATTTGTTGTTGACCTGCTTCATTTTGAGTTGCGTTGATCTTGGGAAAAGTTGCTTTAATGCTGAGAAATGTGGTTTGATCCGTTAGAATCGACACTTTTCTCGGAGAAGTTGTTTGTGGGTCTGTTTGGTGGCAGAACTTTGGTTCCGGCTGCTTATGACTTGTTTGGCCAAAACCCTTTTTTGCAAAAAAAGTGCTTTTTCCAAAAGCACTTTTCCGAAATCACTTATTCGAAAATCATTCTTAAATTCACTTTTTTTCTCTCTCTCTGGCTTATCTGAACAGAATCTACCGAACTTGTGCCGAGGCCGAGAAGCTAATAAGTCGGGAGCTGCGGCAGGAACATTTTGTTGCTCTTCCGACGCACCCGGTGATGATCTCATTGCTGAGGGTGTCGGAGTCCGAAAACCGGATTTAAATAACTTTAACCTTTTCACTATTTGTTGATTTTTCTTGCAGGTTCAGAGGAATAAAATCGGAATGCGAAGAGTCGACCTCGAAGGGTAGTTTAAGAGTTTATAATTTAGAAAAAATGTAATTTTAATTTTGTACTTCCTTCCATTATTTGGATATTGTAAAATAATAATAAAATAAATAAAAATTCTATTTTATTATTTGGATATTGTAAAATAATAAAATAAAAATTCTATTTTTCTATTAATTTGAATTTCTCATACCAATCCTTTCGATTAAGCCCAATCTCTAATAAAACATCCGATTAAAATCTCTAAACCTCTAAATGATTCAGGCGAGTAAACTCATCCGACTAATCAGATTAAATTCAACAGGAAACGCATCCGATTAAGTTCAACCCAAATAAATCCACTTAACCGAATTCAACTGATTAAATTCCTCCAAATTATTCATACAAACCAGCTCGTCTAACCAAATCCACATGCTTGCCTCCATAACAAATTCATCCGTTTCAATTTTCCCGACTAAATTTATCCGGTTAGACTTATCCAAATAAATCAATCTGACTAACTTCATCTGGTTAAAACCTGTCTGATTGAATTCATCAAATAAACTCAGTTAATTAAATTTATCCAATGAAAATTGTCCGACTAAACTGTGACGTTCCAATTCCGCATTTGACAACTGATTGACTTCCCCAATTTAAATTTGACCTAACCGTTGAGCTCAACAAACCTCTTTGCAAATTAGTTCAAATCTGGTGATAAAGTCAGTAAACATAGTCTTGTCGGCATAAGCAACGACCTTTCAATTAAACGGCAGAACGAACAGTCTTTTGTATTTAAAACTCGGTAACTTGAATCAATTTCATCGTTCCTTTAACCGTTGACCAGAAGAAATCCCGCGAAGCAAGTTCTCGCACTGGTTTAACCCGAATCCACTGGTATCTTAACACACTCAACTCTAAATGGCTTAGCACTTCAAAATCCAACTGATGACCGAATCTCGGCTTTGGAACAAACCGGGTTGCGTTGCTAGAAATCTGATGTCAGAACTGTCGTAAAATTCGATTCATCCTCAAATAAATCACAGGACTCGGAGATGGAACCCTAATCACTCGAGGGATTCCTGAGGACGACCCAACTTCAAAACTGTCAGCGGGCTGCAAGTAAATGACCATTTTGCCCTTCACCAATTAAATTGCGCACAGTGTGATTTTTCCTGCAAAACCGATAGTCTGAGTAACCTGGTAAGCTGTTAGTGATAATGCAATGAAAAAATGAGATGGAATGCGAAATGAAACGACCAATCTAAGAGTAAAATTTGGGGTATTACACATGAGTTTAACAGTGATGCAATGA